ATTATTTCTACAATCATTTTCACATCATAAATATTTTTTAATTGCTTACTCAAACCTTTAAATTTTATATAGTAATTTTTAGGTAGGAATCCAGCGATTCCTACATATAAACATAAAATATTTTATAAGAAAGTCCCTTTGAACATTTGTATATTTAAACTTTGAGATTCATATCATTTGTTAAAAGTACAATTTTAGTTTATATCAACATAAAAGGTGGTTACATTGGGGGGCGAAAGTTGGAGTCCAGAAAATTTTAATTAGTGATCTGCAAAATTTTGCAGACGTTTCACGGATCACAATAACTAATTCATTTATTAAATATATCATATTTTAAGGTATGTATGTATTAGGGGAAAAAAGTATTTATATAATAATAATAATAATAAAATAATTATTCTATGTCTGTTTAATTTTTCTTTTTTCTTCAATTAGGCCCATGATTGCATCTCCAATATTCTTTCACTTTCATCTCATTCCAATGACTTGGATTAAGCAAAAGTGATGGTCTCAACACATGATTAACTTCATCCATTGATGGTGTCTCATTAAATAAAGCAAGGTTTTCACAAATTTTTTTTCATCCTGAGATGGTCTATATCTTGTATTTTTTGTTGGTGGAGGTTATTCAAAGTCTGTTGAAGAAGGAGGTATGTTGGAGGAGGGTGCAATAGTGTATCCATTGTTTCAATGTCAATTATCATAGGTTCAGGATTAATTTTTTTGGTTTTTCAACAAATGAAATCCTGATTTACGCCTACATTTACTAGGTTTAGACATAGCCATACAATCAGATAATTACAGAGATAATTATAGCAACTCTTCTACTGGTCAGTGAAATTTATTTTGATTAAGGTTCAAATGTTTTAAACACACACCTAATTTTTCAACTTCCTTTCCAACTTCTCTTACAACATTTGAATCTATCTCAAAGCAACCAATCAAGTTGTGAATGCTATGGTTATTATTATCCATATGGTTACAATGCTCAATTTTTTCTTCATTATTCTCATTATCTACAATTACACATGGTGTGATGATAATAAAGATGAATATGACAACCATCCTAATGATGATGATGACAATGCAGATATGGAGGGTGATGAAAATAATAATAGTGAGGAGGAGGATGATAAGGGTGATAAGGATGGTGGCAATAGTAATGATGGGGTGGTGAAAATATGGAAATCAATTAATTTTATTAAAATAATAATGATTATCATATAACAATGATTGTAAACCACCAGATCAATCCATTTGAAAGAATAAAAAAAGTAATCAATAGTTATTAGTTGATGTGATGTTGCATACATATCCTTTAATAATTTATTAATAATAGTATATTAGTAGTATTGTTATTGTAGGAATATCAACTAGAATTATTTCTATTTTCTAAAAATAATTAATTAATAATACACTGTCAGATCATTTAACTGTTGACCTTGGGAAAAAGAAAATATAATTATACATACCTTTTAATCATAGTAGTAACATCAGTGCTTGTAATCTTGAGATAATTTTCAATTGATATGATTTTAACTCAAAATTTTACATAAATTATATATATATATATATATATATATATATGGTGCAGACTGCAACAAAACCAGACAAAGTGAACATTGGTATTACCAAAGATTTCAGGGTCAATTATGAATATAATGTGAATATCACTTTATTTTATTTTGAATTATCGAAAAAAAAAATATTTGAAGGTTTTGCAATGCACTAAACATTAAATAAATTTCTTATTTGTCGTTTGATTATTCTGCTCTTATTTAATATCGCATCTTTAGTTCTATTTAAACCCAACCGATTGAGTTTTCTCATTTCAATTTTTTTGTCTAAAATAAATTCTACGAGAATATTGATTTCATGGCGTGACCATCTTTTTCTTCGACAATCTTGTGAATCATTATTTATTTCAATTCGGTTATTATGAGTTGATTGATTGCTAATATTATCAGTCATTTCAATATGATTGTTGATATCAATGTCATTATTATCAGCAATCTCAAAGTGATTGTTAACATCGGTATTATTATCGTTATTCATTTCATTATGGTTGCCATTACGATTATTTAAACGTGAATCAGTGCTATCATTATTATTGTTGTCAGTTATTTCGATGTCATTGTTAGTATTAGTATTAGCGTTATTATTGTCAGCAATCTCAAAATGATTGTTAACATCGGTATTATTATCGTTATTCATTTCATTATGGTTGCCATTACGATTATTTAAACGTGAACCAATGCTATCATTATTATTGTTGTCAGTTATTTCGATGTCATTGTTAGTATTAGTGTTAGCGTTATTATTATTGGTTATTTCAATGTGACGGTTATTATCGGTATTATTATCATTATTCGTTTCGTTATGGTTGCCATTAGGATTATTTAAACATGAACCAACGTTATCATTATTACTAGTTATCTCAAAATGATTGTGATTATCGGTATTATTATCATTATCATTTATTTCCATACGATTATTATTACTTTTATCATTCGAATTTGAACCAAATAAATTATCATTACGTTCATTGTTATCGTTATTAATGGTCATTTCCTTTAAAAAATTTAGGTTAGTTAAGTGATATAGTAAACTTTCATTTATTCCTTAATAATATGTGATATACCATTTCATATATACTCTTCAAAATTAAAAATAAATCAAAAGGAATGATAGGTTTTATGAGATTCGAAATATCTACGCTATCAATATCATTTAAGAGCTCTGATAGGTTAATTATACGATTTATTTGGTCAAGGTTAAGATTGGACTGCTTCGTGTTGGTTTGCTTCTTTTTGTTTTCTCTCCTGTCGTTGAGACATATTTTTTTTAAAAAATTTTTTTTAAAAATTAAATTGAAAAAATCTTATGATACACAAACACACAATATATAGTATGGTTGTACAAAGAAGCCCCTATTGTTATTTTTGGTGACGCGATTGAATTTTTTTTTTTTTTTTGGAAAAACAATTTATTTTTCTCTTACAAGACGAGAAAGCGCGAATGTTGTTGTTTGGCATGACTTGCTCTAAAGAAGACATGTTGTTGTTTATTGATGACGAGAGGTACACTATTTTTTGTTGCATTTTATTATTTTTTTTTTATTGTTTTTATAAATATTGATATACATGTATTGATTCTTTTGTATAAATATTATTGCAAAATCAAACTGTGGGAGCAGAACTTGTATCTACGAGATTCTTTATCATGATAAATAAACGATTGGTATCGTTTTTGCTTAATATTATTAATATTAAATAATTATAAGATGTCAAGGCGATACAACTGTTACAGAAGAAACAATTCAATATGTTATGTTTGATTATTAGAAGTTTGGCAGACGTCAAGGCACACACACTACCTTGTCACTTTACAGTCATTCTCACATGTTCCTCGTGTTCACAATGCTAATCTGACCTGCGACGCCCAATAATACAATGATGCAATTAAATTTTCAGGGGGGGGATGCATGGCCCTGGAGTTTATCAAGATTGCATCATTGCCAAGGACACTTTTGCGAATCCTACCTCATCTTTTCCTCCCTTCGAAATGGCCAGGAGTTTAGAAAGTCAGCTCTAGGTGTACTCTGACAAATAGCAATCCAGGTTGCAACCTCCTCAGTTGCAGGCACCAACTTTTACTCTAGTGGAACAGCAATCATTGCACAGTGTCAACAATCAATGCTGTATGGTAGCAGCCAAGCCTGATCTGAGGAAAAGATAAGGGAAGTTTTTTTTGTCAGTCCTTAAAAAAGCCTTCCAGCATGTAGTGGACTTTACCCTTGGGAAAAAATTCCATGGTTATGAAGGGTATCTGCATGTTTGTTATAGGAAAGTTTTATTAAATCTGACACCTGTAATCATCATCATCAGATTTATTATTCATGGTTTTTGAGAACTATACAATGGAAAGGGTAAAAATTTTTTTTTTGATCTTCCTTATTCATTTATTTATTTTTGTGACATAGGTAGATACACGTTATTGTTTTGAAATCAGATTCCTTAAAAAAATTCATTTTTTGCATGGTCTTGGTATTATTTATTACTTGGGTGATGCAATTGTTTGTTATTTTAATGATAGTATCAAACATGGTGATGAATGTGGGTACAAAGGAATTCACACATGAGGAAAGTATTAAATAGCAAGATCATGTTTATTTATTTATTTTTTATTTTAACCAAGATACATAATTATATAATTAGATTGAAAAAATACAAGTAAAAAATTGCAAGAGTGATTGTATGGAAATCCAAGACTGGACCAATCACACCATTGCATGTTCAAGGCCAATCAAGCAATTATTTGAATACATGGGTACACTTTTGTATGCAATTTAAAATTCTTTCGTGTTAATTTAGAGTCACATCTTTCTTTTGCTCTTGTAGGTAGCATTTTACAAATCAAGTTATTTACCTTAATGTAATAATCATTATATCAAATTAATTTGTAACTTAGGTTTTCAAAAATTAGTATAATTGTTTTACAATAATAATATTTTCTATGTTTATGATCAACAATGTGTGGAAAAACATCCTTTCTGAAAATGCAATAATAGACTTAAGTCCCTCATCTGAATTTGTCCTTATGTACCTTGAGGAAACAAAATATGATTCGTTGATAAAAAAAGTTTTTGACCCAATTGACAAGCTCTTTCCTGAAGAAGCTGATAAATTTTTTAATTGATTTTTTTTCGGAGGTAAATCATACAAATATTGCACCACTTATTAATGATCATGCAATTTGATAATAAAAATTGAATTTTTTGCCTTATTTATTTATAAAAATTAAGCGAACAACAATGGGAAGACAAGGTCGAGAGCTTGATGGAAGCTACTCCAAAACAAAATAAATTTATTATAAAATTAAAAAGATTGATAATAGAAACATTGCCAATTTTGTAAGTATATAAGGAGCATTTTTTTTTTTTTTGTAGATATTAATATGTGATAACGGTTCAAAATTCTAGTCTTGATTCCTACAAATTTATGTCTGAAAATCCTCTTAAAAACAAAGAAATGAATGAGGAAGAATATATGAATATGTATGTTCATCCAGTTTTAAAAAGAGCCTTGAGCCATTTTTCCGATATTAGATATGTGCTGTAAGTATAGATTTTTGTTGATCCTACCTTATTAATATGTAACAGTTTATTTAACTTTCATCATACTTTTGTAGAGGAAATAAAGCTATTAAAGCTTCAGTATATAGAAAAAATATCATGAATCAAAAAGGAAATGCTGATCGGGCAGATGGAATGGCATATACGTTGAATCAGCAAAAATTCCTATGAAATTTCTGCAACAGAAGGAAGCTGTCCATATGTTGTTGAAAAAAACAAAGAAACAAGTGATTTCATCCAAAATGCCTGTGCTGCCAAAGATATTATTAATTTTGCGGTAATTCAAGAAGTGTTGCACAAAAGACCACTTCCATCATATTTTAGATCCTTTATGGTTCAAGTTTATGAATTTAACTTAAAATTTATTTTATGGATTATATCGGTATGTGTGCATGTCAAAACTTAATATAATAAAAATTATTAATTAATCATTTAATTAATTATTTATTTATTTTTTTATTTTTATTTTTAATACAAAGGCCAGTATTGTATTTTTGAGATAGAATCTTGTGAAATTCCAATAGATTGGAAAGAAATTCCAAATTTTGTCTCTTTCTATTAAGGTTTCTGACCGAAACTGCTTCTATTAGTAGCCAAATACTTTGGGCAAAAATTATTTTTTTATAAGCCCAAACTACTTTTTGTTACTAGCCGAAATTGGGTGAAATTATTTTAAAGTTGTTTAAGTTAAAACAAGTTGATTCATATAGTTTTTTAATGTTCATGCTTATAAAAAATGTTGAGAAGCCCAAATTGCCCAAACTAGTTGGGCTTTGAGAAAACAGTTTGGAACAGAAACCTTACTTTCTATAGAGCAATTGTCACATGGGCAGTAAGTCACACTGTTGTTTTGTTGTTGTTGTTTTTTTTTAAAGGAATTCTTTTTTATTAATTTACATTTCATCTTTCAGTTATTGATTAAAGAGGCTGACAAAAAATTCCAAGAATCAAGGAATAAAAAGAGTTCTCATCTAAGCAATAGCCACAATATTAGAAAGCTATTAAAACTTTCACATAATAAAGATCGTGGTAGTGCAAAACAGGATATGACAGTAAATAAGCTTATCTAGATGAGTTAAAAGGTATAAGGAGTTACATAACTTATTACAAAATAATTTTAATAATCAAAAGCAATATAGTGAATAATTATAATTAATTATTTAATAAATCATTTATTATTTAATATAGTTGTTTATTATTTGTTTATATATTTTTCATGTATATATTGAAGTTAGCTTTTGATATAACTAATATAACTAGCAATTGTAAAAATTTGTGTTTGCCATAGATAGTAATGAATATATTGCTAATAAATGATGCTAACAGCATAAATATTATTATAATAATATAATGCAACTATATGTAACCAGATCACCATAAATAGTCAAATCGATTAAGCATGCAAATAAAATGTGTATATATGATGTATTAGCTTTAAAGATATATGAATTGAACAAGGTTTCCAATAAGAAGCAACAAAGCAATGGTTCATTGTTTATTAATTAACAACAAATGTTTTGAAGTTGGAATAAGGTGATTTTCCACTAATGGAAGATAGCTTTTTTTTCAATTTATATGTTATTTTTTCATCAAATATCTATTTATTAAATTAAATACATTATGAAAAGTTGGTGTGTAACTTTCTTTTACAAATTATTTTTCTTATTTAGATTCTTGTCTACCTGAAGAATCATTACCCTTGTAATTCTGAGAATAGGATTTGTTCGTATGTAAGTCTTTTTTTTTTCCAAGATAAAAAAAAGTTAAAAACGTTTATAAACTTTTAATTAAAAAAAATAAAAAAGATTCTTAATGTTATTTTGAATTTCAGTCGATAAAAGGTTTAATAATGATTCAGCTTGTTGGAGCATAGTGGAAATTTGAAATGTTACACTAATTTTTATATTGTGCAACGTAGCTTTACAATACACGGCAAATATTCTGGCAATAAAAAAGTAAGTGATAAACTGGATTTGAATTGGATCTGAACTTGATCTCCAATTTAGAGAGGAGACAACTATATACTGGTGGAGTTTCAGGAGCAATGAGTTCTGTATAACAATTCGTGTAACAACAAACTTCCACTATGCTGCTTGTTGGATTGATTCATTTAATAGACGACTTGTATAAAATGATTCAGGATGATGTTTATAATTCTTTGTATTTGTAAGGAATTTTTCTGATTTGATGATTTCTTGTATTTTGGCTTCTGCTGAGTAGATAATTTTTCTTTTTTCTCCAAATATATATTCCCATAAACAATTTCAAATTTCATAAGCTGTTGGTCTATTTTTTTGGATTATGATCCCAACATTTTTTCATCAATTCAGCATAGAATTCTGGAGTATTGTCAGTGATTTGAGTTCTTTCTCCTTTTAAAATATCTAATATAAGAATATGATTATGTGGTCTATCATGAAAAGGTTTCTTTCCTGTAGTATGCTCCACATTATCATGCCAGAACTGTAAATATCTGATTCTTTTGTATAAGGTTTTTTTGATAGTACTTCAGGTGCCAAATATGGAATTATTCCATGGATGTTATCTTTTTTATCAACTATTTGTTGACATAACTCCAAATCTCCTATTCTATTACTCCATGTAGAATATGAAAAAATATTACCACTGTGCATGTCATGATGAATGTTATTTTTTTATAAAATAAAATAATAAATCTAATAATAAATATAAATTTACCCAAATGAAATCCTCAAAAGCGAATCAATTTTATCTTGCCAAGTAATTTTTTTAAAATCTTTTGATAAATTTTTATGTAAATCTCTATTTGGAGCATATTCGAATACCAACAAATAATCATTTTCATTTGGATCTTTAATAACTCCATAACATTGGTTAACCAAATGATACATAAATTTGTTATTTACTTTTAACAAAAAAATTAGTGATAATAAATTACCCCTCGAGTTTGTTATTATTATTATTTCTATGTAGAATTTTGTTTAATAATGATGAATTAACTTTAAATTTTTGCCTCTAATAAGTTTAATCTTTAACAAATATTGTTAGCTTTTTTCCACATTTAAAGTAAAAAGTACTAAAATAATTATATACTTAACATACCCTAAGGATATAAGTATATTAAAAGAATAAATAAAAAAAGGGACAATCAAGAAAATCATGACAAACATCCTAAAAGAACAACAACAGGCAAATAAAGAACTAATCAATGAAATTGAAACATTGAAAAAGCAATTATCCAATAAAGAACAAGAAATTACTGAATTAAAAAATCTAGAAGTAAGTGAACAAGAAGAAGCTGAATTTAAGCAAGAAGCA